TTGGAAAAATCTTTTGAATACAATTGTGTGTTTATATAGGACAATGGTGGAATTGCCACAATGTCTAGACATAATGGGACTATTATTTCTCTTTATTTTTTTCTAGTTAAGTGAAACAGTGGGAATGGAGAAGGAACAAATCTGTAACTTGTTGTGAACAAATTATTGTATACTGAGATGGATTTACGGATTTTTTTTTTAAGAGATGAGGTCTTGCTTTGTCACCCAGGCCAGAACACAGTGGCACAATCATAGCTCACAGCAGCCACCATGGCTGTCCTTTTTTTTTTTTGAGAGATGGGGGGGTCTCACTATGTTGCCCAAGTTGGTCTCCAACCCCTGGCCTCAAGTGATCCTCCCACCTCAGTCTCCCAAAGTGTTGGGATTACAGGTATAAACCACTGCACCCAGCTTGGAATGGATTTTTATTTTAATACCTCTGTTCATCATAGGAAAAATATATTTTAAAAACCATTGTTGAAAATCTCCACATTTTAAGAAGCACAAATCAATTGTCTTTTAAAATCCCTCTTTAATTCCCAGTAGATAGTTATTGGTCATTAAACATGTTACACGTATGAGTAATATTTAGTTATCACAGCTAATGGAATAGTTTAGAACAAGCTTGGTAGGGTTGTAACTTTTAGATGCTACATGTATAATTCCACATAGGCCAAAGTCCTTTTTTTTTTTTTTTTTTGAGTTGGAGTCTCACTCTGTCACTCAGACTGGAGTGCAGTGGCCGCTTCTGGCCACTGCAGCCCCGACCTGCTGGGCTCTGGCGATCCTTCCACCTCAGCCTTCCGAGTAGCCGGAATTACAGGCGCGAGCTACCACACCCGGCTAATTTTTTGATTTTTATTGTAGAGATGAGGTCTCGCCTGCCCAGGCAGGTCTCGAACCCGTGGGCTCAGGCAATCCACTCACCTCAGCCTCCCAAAGCGTCGGGATTACAGGCTGAGCCACTGAGCCCGGCTCAAAGCCCTTTTTATAATCATGATGGTCATTTTGATGTCGGGTGAGTGTATTGCTCCATGAATTCTTGATTTCACCACAAAAAAGAATTTCAGAGGGAATTCAAAGTATAGTTTAAGAAAGAACTTATTAGAAACAAAAGGGAAATGTTCAAGGAAAAGCATATTTGCCTTTGACAGGGAGTCTTATAAATGTATTTTTTTAGATTGGAAAATATAGTTTATTTAGAAAGTAAATTAGAGAGAGAGAGAGAGAGAGAGAGAGAGAGAGAGAGAGAGAGAAAGAGAAGAGATTCACCTCTTCAAGGTAGGGAAGAGAGCCAAAGCTAAGAAAACATGGTGGCCATGGCTCAAAGAACAGTTGGCTTGGCCAGTGCTCAAGAAAACAATGGACAAGCCGTTCATACTTTCACAACGATGAAACTAAGAGCAAGGGGTTTTGGGAGTTTTCACTATTATCTCCCGACGTTTTAAGGTCACAGGACCTTCTAAATAATGGGAGTTACTGTCAGACTAGTTCTGGCTTTTCTTAAACCATCGTATCTGTGTTTGGGTAATTCCCTATTGTTTCTGGGATTTACCCGCACTGGTAGTTCCACATTCCAACTCACACAGTGGTCAGGTCTGATAAGCCTGGAAGGCTGGGTGAAGGTCGTGCATGGATCAGAAAAATGTCTGAATGCTTACCCTATTTTAATTTAGACCTGCCTAAGAAAATCTGCCTAACTGCTTCTAAACTATGTTAACTATGCCTGCCCCAATTTTATGGAATTTTTACAAGGTAAGCAGAGGAGTACAGTGGAAATCACATTTAATTAGGCATCTCAAGTCTCAATTTTAGAGTTGACTAACGAGGAATGACTGTTAAAAAGTGCTATGACGTTCTGTTTTCTTAGTGAAGAAGATAAGGAAATAATGCTGGGCATGGTGGCTCACACCTGTAATCTCAGCACTTTGGGAGGCAGAAGTGAGAGGATTGCCCGAGCCCAGAGGTTCAAGACCAACCTAGGAAACATGGCAAGACCTCACCGCTACAATAAAAAAAAAAAACTAGCTGGGTGTAGTGGTGGGCATCTGTGGTTCCAGCTACTTGGAAGACTGAGGTGGAAGTATTGCCTAAGCCCAGCAGATCAAGACTTTGGTGGCCATGAGTATGTCACTGCACTCTAGCCTGGGCAACAGAGTGAGACTCTGACTCAAAAGAAAAAAGAAGAAGAAATAAAAACAAGTGGCATGGTCTTTTAGAGGGATCCATCAAATTAGGTCAGTTTAGATAGTCTCTAGGGGTCCATCTGGTACTGGGATTCTGTGATCAGATGGCTTCGAAGGTTTCTTCTAGCTCAGAAAATATAGATACTTGGAACATAATTTTTTCTATTTTAAATGGTTTCATAGGTTAATAGTTATTTTCTTGATTTCAAAATTCATTGCTGGTGATGTCTATTACTTGTTTGATTGTCTTTGGTCAGGAATGCAATCCTACCTACAATACTGTTCCAGGAAAACACTTCACTTTAGAAGGAGTGTTTTGCAGTAAAAAGTAGAGCCCATTCATGAAACATCAGAAATTACCAGTCTCAACAGAAGTAACATTTATCTACTAAAATCTGATGTGATTTATTGATTTAGAGCTGCACTTTAAAATATCTGATGTTATCTGTACCTTTCAAATGCAACAAAAAATAACACAAAAGTACATTTTTATTTTCAGCAAAACTTAAGACAGATGGCACTTTTAAAGTAGGCATTTAAACTCAGTACTTGAAAAACTGAAATGAGATGTTAAATTACATCTGAAGTTTTCAAAATGTATTTAAAAACCCAACTCCAATTTTCTTAAGTCGCTTCCTTTATTTTAAATTGTCAAAAAACTTAAAGATGTGCTTGTGCATACATATAAGCTATGTCTCAGAATTCAGAACTACGCATAGAACTTGTGACTACAAAATGAAAAATACACATACACTAGTGGAGCACTTAATCCTTACCTTTGAAATCTACTGCTGATGCCAAGTCTAGAGAGTAGTGACCCAAGCAGAAAAGGAATAAGGGCTGCCTGTTCTTGTTTAAAGTGCTTATTTGCTTTATATCCTAAAACAATGGTTTTTACAAATACGTAATACTGAAAGATGCTCAAAAAGTCACTACTGACAGAATCGAACATGCCACATCTAACTTGGCACAGGTAAGCTGGTTTTGTTTGCATTGATGAAGATGGCTTCCCCTCAACTGGATCAAGATAGTGCTCTGAGTTTCAGCAGCATAAACAAACCCCATCTAAATGGATTGCAGTGGACCAGAGAAAATGTAACAGTTTTGGAATATGTTACCCATCTATGGACAAGCCTTCTCTTTCACTCTGCATATATGGTAAACATTAAAAAATAAGAAAAATACTTTGTCTCCCTATAGAGCATATTATAGTATATGAAGGGATTTAAATTCTCCTACTATTTGACAAAACTCGTATTTCTATATAGAGGAGGTTTTATATTCTTATTTAAAACAAAGCCTGTTTCAACCAAGAAAGCAAGAGGAATCAATCAAGACGGGCTCGGTGGCTCAGCCTATTATCCTGCACCTTGGGAGGCTGAGGTGAATGGATTGCCTGAGACCGCGGGTTCGAGACCTGCCTGGGCAACTTGGTGAGACCTCATCTCTACAATAAATAAAAAATTAGCCAGGTGTGGTAGCACACGCCTGTAATTCCGGCTACTCGGAAGGCTGAGGTGGAAGGATCGCCGGAGCCCAGCAGGTTGAGGCTGCAGTGGCCGGGAGCCGCCACTGCACTCCAGTCTGGGCGACAGAGTGACACCCCAACTCAAAACAAAAAGAGGAACTGATCAACAAAATCCCAAACTCCAAAAACAAAATAAACCTTGGGAGGCTGAGGTGAATGGATTGCCTGAGCCCGCGGGTTCGAGACCTGCCTGGGCAACTTGGTGAGACCTCATCTCTACAATAAATAAAAAATTAGCCAGGTGTGGTAGCACGCGCCTGTAATTCCGGCTACTCGGAAGGCTAAGGTGGAAGGATCGCTGGAGCCCAGCAGGTTGAGGCTGCAGTGGCTGGGAGCCGCCACTGCACTCCAGTCTGGGCGACAGAGTGACACTCCAACTCAAAAAAAAAAGAGGAACTGATCAATAAAATCCCAAACTCCAAAAACAAAATAAACCCCAAACTCCAGAAAAGAAATAAAATTGTGAACCATTCTAAAATAAAGTGTTTTTCTTAAAGATGAATACAAACATTCCAAAACAGAAGCTGTTTTCTGAGAGTGAAATATGTGACTTCATTTCAAAGACAAATGAATAAAATGCGCTTATCACTTTTATCTGATTTAAACAACTTAGAAAAAATAAGGCTCGCTGGGCTCGGTGGCTCAGCCTGTAATCCTGCGTCTTTGGGAGGCTGAGGTGAGTGGATTGCCTGAGCCCACGGGTTTGAGACCCGCCTGGGCAGCGAGACCTCATCTCTACAATAAATAAAAAATCAGCCGGGCGTGGTAGCGCATGCCTGTAATTCCGGCTACTTGGAAGGCTGAGGCGGAAGGATCGCCATAGCCCAGCAGGTCGAGGCTGTGGTGGCCGGGAGCGGTCACTGCACTCTAGTCTGGGCGACCGAGTGAGACTCCAACTCAAAAAAAAAGAAAAAAGAAAAAAGAAGGCTCACCTCAACCTACTTCTTTCTGTATGAAACTGTCGTTCTGACTCCTGCCCACACAAGAACCCTTCCGGTTGTAACAATGAGCATCCTCTCGGGTCCCTGGCTGTTTTCTAAACCTTGAACTTTTTTTACTCCTCCTTTCTCCCCTCCCCAAATCCCTACATATCCCAGGAGAAAAATCACAACTTAAGTATAGTGTGATAATGCTACATTTGATTTAAAGTGGTAATAAATTATAAATTGCCAAATAACTTAATGTAATTCACAATGCAAATCCCTGGTATAAAAAGAATCCATCTTGCCCTGAATATAATAAAGCAGTCCAGTAGTTTCAAATTACTTATGAAATAAAGGCAAAAATAAGATGTAAAATACTATTTATAAAAGTCAAGTAAGAAACTAGTTGCCATAAATCTTCTTTCAAAGATAAATGTAATGTGGCTTACCGCTTCTAAAAATTGTTAGGGAGGTTTATAATTAGTGGTTTCAAAAGTGACTTTAGGAAAACTAGAGTTTGAATTATATATTAATGTGTGACATATTAAATACATATGTAATAATAATACTGCAATGAAGAGAAATTTAAATTAGTCTTTGGACCCGCCACCTTTTGGCAAGTATATTTCTTTTTCAAAGTCTTTGCAGCAACTGATTAATTTTTAAATATTAGTTTTCAAAAACTCTTCTGCTTGAGATATTTATGTTTATAAGGAGATACCAGAAGTCTCAAATAGTAATAATATGCCTACAAAATAAAACAAAGATTGCTCTTGCATCTTCTGTTATTATAACAAATACACTTTAAAATAAACAACACTGCTATGCCCGGAAATTAAAAGTACCTAAATACTTTTTTAAAAAGATGGAAAAGGAAAAAAAAATTGAAAATTCTTATTTAAAAACAAATCAGAAGTCCTTGCATTCCTTGAACTTGACTTGTCAAATTCCAGTGTATCTTCTTACTGATGAAGTTGTATCTTCCGGCATTCTCCACATGACATCTTGTCAATTCTCCATATTTTTGTAGGTTTCAGTTTGAATTTTCTTGAATGTTTGCAAAACTGGTACTGGACTTGAGACGTTTGGCTAAATAAATCAAAATAATTATATTTTAACTTAAATTTAATTACTTAAACATGATTATTCATTATTTTTATGTAAACTATAGTATTTGTCTATTAATTCTTTGTTTGAATCTGAATATCTAATCGTATAAGAATTAAAACCTAAGTGTATTTTTTCTACAAACCTTAAAAATCATAATATTGTTAAAAACTGCACATGACTTTGTTAGAAGCAGTACCAAATAAAACGATATCATTTATATCTTCTTGAACATCACAATCTTAAATATGTAATGTAGGTGAAAGTAATCTACTTAGAAAATGAAAGCGCTATAAGGTACAATAATAAAATTGTACCTTTAAGTCAGAAATCCAAATCTAAATTTCTCTTAAAAGATTACAGTGAAAACATCCTCAATCTGATAAAGGGTATCTACAAAGATTCTATGGCAATCGTTATGCTTAATTGTGAAAGACTGAATAACTTCCCCCAAGACTTACAAAGAAAAGTATATGGCTGCTAACAAAATAGGTGACAATCAGTTTTGACTTGACACAAATGAGACTGAGTCATTAAGGTTAATAAAACAGATCATGGCTATTTGGCTTGGTAATATGTTTTATGTTTACACTTATACACAAATGTTTCTCACATTCTAGAAACGAAAAACAACCGTGTCATGGTGAGAATGGGTCATCCCTGGATAACCAGATTCTACCTGCTTCAGAGGTTCACATCACTGGGGCAGAGGCTGCAATTCAGAAGGCCTGCCATGGCGCACAGGCACCTGTAAATTTTTTTAAAGCTCTGCAGATAATTCTGACATGTAGCCAAAGATGAGAATCACTGCTCTAGTTTCTACCAGGGTCTCCAGACCACCACTTTTAAGTGCAAAATGACAAGAGGACTTCCTGGACCAGTGTACTGCTTCAGCCTACTCAAGGACAAACTAAATAAATGGCCTAAACTAAAATCTACCTCTCCAGCCTTCAGTAGACTTGGGAGGCAAGCCAAATCAACATTTTGGGTTTTTAAAGAATTACTTTGTTAAGAACTACTACAAGTGGTCTAGTTTCTTACTGACCAACTATCAAATTACTCATTAGGCCGGGCACGATGGCTCACACCTGTAATCCCAGCACTTTGGGAGGCTGAAGTGGGAGAATTTTTACTTAAGCCCAGGAATTTGAGATCAGCCTGGACAACATAGCGGGACCTTGTCTCTACAAAAAAATGAAAAAATTAGCCAGGTGTGGTGGCACATGCTGTAGTCCCAGCTACTAGGGAGGCTGAGGCAGAAGGATCACCTGAGCCCAGGAGGTTGAGGCTGAAGAGAGCCATGATCAATACCACTGCGGAAAGGAAAAAGGAAAGGAAAAAGGAAAGGAAAGGAGAGAGGGAGGGAAGGAAGGAGTTAAGGAAGGAAGATGAAATTAGATGAAGTGCTAGAAAAAAGTTTAAAGGGGAAAGCTTCTTAGACTATAAATATTTGAAAGAAAAAAAGATGAAGTCCTTACCCCCAAAACACTCTCTTTTTTAAAAACTAAAATGACTAAGCGATAAGGCCATCCTCTCATTCTGAAAATAAGCAAGAAGCCCACTGACTCTTCCGTAACTAGACAGGACCTCCTGGTTAGTGCTTCTTTTACTCTGCTCTGTTTGTTGGCAAGAAAGAAAAGAAATTAAAGTGCACTGAATATGTGCACATGCTGAGGAATGTTCTTGGGACTACAACTCCCGTTTGTCATGAACAAGCTGTCTGCATGCCCGTGATGGTTTCCTCCCTCCTGCCACGCTTTTCAGTGATTCTGCCCTAACTCCAGTGGCCCTAAGAACTATCTGTAGCTCCCTACTGTTGCCACGTCAGGAGGGCAAAGTCTCTGTGTCTGCTCCTCTATTTCTACCAACCCTATTCTGGGATAATCCAGCTTTCTCAATTTAATCATCTGAAGGACACTGTCTTTTGATTTTTTATTATCTGCACTTTCAAAGTTCACACATATCATTTCATTACTAAGTGTAACTGTAAGTTGTAAAGCAAAGAGCCATTTTAGGCTAATGTACTTTGAGTTCTCTTCTCGAGTATTTTTAATTTCTAAAATAGGTCTGAATTTTTATGTATTTATTTTTAATATAGATTATTTAGAAAGTAAATGAGAGAGAGAGAGAGAGAGAAAGAAAATTCACCTTCCCAAGGTAGGGGAGGGGGCCAAAGCTTAGGGAAACAAAAGCATGGCTGTCCTGAATTTTTAAAATATAAGCTCTTATCCAAATAAATAGATAACTGCAACAAGAATCTTACGTAGAATGAGCTTGCGTTTCTTTTGCTCTGAGTGGAGAAAGCTGCTCAGGTAGAAGACCACAGGGAGAAAAAGAATGAACACGGAGACGGCGATCACGGGCACCGTGTCGCTGCAAGGGACCGAGCAGTTGAAGGTTCGACTCCAGAGCTTTCGAGTGATGTTCATCTGGAACGATGACAATGATATTATCCATTTTATATTTAGCTTATCTTCAATGTCTCATAATTATCTGTTAATATCTAAGCAGGCACCTAGAATCTAGATTAAATACACACCCTAAAAACCTACTGATAGTTGAGGACAACTTTTTCTGCCAGAGAAATAAGCTGAATCACAGTCATTATATACATTTATATCCATTCAGAAGTTTCATCTCCAAAATATATAACACTGAACAAAGAGTCCTAGGACATCAACAATTCACAGTTTTCAAATAACCTGTATTAACAGGAGTAGATAGTTAGACTCTGTTTCATTCATTTAAAACATTTATTTAATAAGCGCCTATTAGAAATCAGACTGTTCTAGGCAATAGAGTTGGAGCAGAAAAAACAAATAAAAGCCCTCAGGGTGCATCTATCGTGAGGCTTTGTTACCATTCTGAACATTACTGGCCCATCTCAGCTCCCCTGCCCTGCCAGGTGACTCACACTCATTATCCTCAGTTGTTAAACTGATCCATTTCAACCTCAAGTTCTCTACTCAGTCATTTCTTCTTCCTCAGTTTCTTCTAAGGCATCAGACTGCCTAAAAAGACATGATCGCCATCTAGTGGCATCCCAAGTAAAGGCAAATCATCCAAAGGAGAAAAAAGATTTTTTTATTGACCGTTCCTTCAATCAATGCATATTTACTATTACATGTCAGGCACTGGCATAAACACTGAATTGTCAACAAAAAAGGCTAGATCCATGTCTTTGAGTGGCTTACACTTCAGTGAGGGCAGACAGATCACAAATGAATGAATATTTTCAGAGGGTAATAGGTATAAAGAAATAAAGCAATAGAATAGGAAGGGATTGAGGAAAGGCTTCTGAAACACGCTGTCATAAAGCCTAGAAATTTCTTAAATTAGCAACAAGTGCATGAGAAACTGAAATATAATCATATAACAACACGCACACCTCTGAAAGTGGTACATGTTTTCTTTCTCCTCTCGTCTCTGCCTCCCAGAGTGCTCGGATTAAAAGGCGTGAGCCACCGTGCCGGACACGTGTTTTCAAATAAAAATAAATAAATAAAATGTGCCAAATAATCAATTTATTTGTGAAGTGCCTTATTAATTTCCATTCTAGTTAGTTATCCACAGGCCAGGATATTCTACAACTTTACTAGTTATTTATATAGATAGCTAGTTACTTATAACTAGTTATTTCTGGTAGAAGACAAAATACACAGATTCTAATAAATCTCCAATAAGGATAGTAATACTGAAAGTCAATTCAACAACACTGAAAAATACGTATCATAGCAAGCAAAGTACTCACTGCATCCTCCACGTCGATGCATAAATGTGTTCCAGGTTCTGCTTTATTCTCAAGTTCATTCATCTTTTGCATTTCACTGTACAGACTACTCAGAGTTTTGTATGCTTCGCGACAGTTTTTGCACACTTCTGAATAATTCTTTGTCTGTAGAAGACCATGTGCGCTCCCCTAAAATAACAAAGGCACTTGTAATACACAGGACAAACACCACTCGCAATATCTCTTTAATGTAAGCTATCTGCCCTCTTAGAGGACCGGTAACAGTATGGCATGGCCAGGCTTGGTGGCTCATGACTGTAATCCCAGCACTTTGGGAGGCAGAGGTGAGAAGACTGCCTGAGCCCTAAGGGTTCGAGACCAGCCTGGGCAACTTGGTGAGACCTCATCTCTACAATAAATCAAAAAATTAGCTGGGTGTGGTAGAGCATGCCTATAGTTCCCGCTACTTGGAAGGATAAGATGGAAGGATCGCCTGAGCCCAGCAGGTTGAAGCTGCAGTGACCACGAGTGTGCCAGTGCACCCCAGCCTGAGCAACAGAGTGAGATGCCGACTCAAAAAACAACCACCAAAAACAGTATGGCATGTTCAAGTGCTGAGCTGTGACACTGGGCTGGTGACTACATCACCTGAGTCTCAGTCTATCAGCTGTAAAGTATGGCCACCTCTACCCATATGATGGCTCCACAGGGTTAGAGACCTGGTGTTGGAAGCACACAGCAAAACACCTGGCACTTTCAAGGTGCCCCTGTTTTGAAAACTGCCACAGCAGCAACTGTTAACTGAGGATGACACAGCTCATACGCCAAATGACTGACAGCTAAATACCAGATTTCCTAAATGGTCTCATCATGGCATATCTGTAGTTCTCTAAATATGTCCCTGCCTGTGCTGGCTTCCACCACATCACGGTTTGCCTTATTGAAACAGGTCCAAAACTACATCCTCTTCAATCCTCTTATCTCAAAGCTCATCATCCAGGCCTTTCCAGTCAACAAAAAGGGCCAACTATCAAAGGATTGTATAACCTAAAATGAGAATTGTGGAGATAATACAAAATATTCTGCTAGCAAAGCTCAATTTTTTTCCACATCTAGACCGATGCTTGTCTTTTCAAGGACAAGTTTCCTGACCAGTCAGCTCACACCTTTGCTTTCTACTCTATTCTTTATCCTGTGGCATGGAGAAAGGATATCAACTGAACATTGGAACAAAAGAGGAAAGAGGAAAGGGGAAAAAAAAATCAAAGTAATCAAACGCTCACCATGTGTTGGAGAGAAAAACTAAGTCTCCCCTCTCGTCTGCTATAAGAACTAGCTCATTGCGGCTGGGCACAGTGGTTCACGCCTGTAACTTTGGGAGGCAAAGGTGAGAGGATTGCCTGAACCCAGGGGTTCAAGACCAGCCTAGAAAACTTGGCGAGATCTTGTCTCTACAATAAACTAAAAAAATTAGCTGGGCATGGTGGTGTGCGCCTGTGGATCCAGTTACTTGGAAGGCTGAGGCAGAAGGATCACCTGAGCCCAGCAGGGCGAGGCTGCGGTGGCTGTGAGCATGCCACTACACTCCAGTCTGGGTGATGGTGAGACTACAACCCAAATAAAAAAAAAAAAGAAATAGCCCATTGCTTGTTTTTTACAGAACAATTGTGCATTTAGCTAAAACCAAAATTGAGCACATAATTTTTTTTTTTTTTTTTGAGTTGGAGTCTCATTCTG